CAAGCAGAGAAAGTCAATTATCATACGGTTTCACTTATTTGTGGAACATAAGGAATAGCATGGAGGACACTAGGAGAAGGAAGGGAAAAATGGGGGGGGGGATTTGGAGGGAGAGATGAACCATGAGAGATTGTGGACTCTAGGAAACAAACAGGGTTTTAGAGGGGGAGGGGGACTGGTTAACCTGGTGATGGATATTAAGGAGGGCACGTACTGCATGGAGCACTGAGTGTTACACAGAAACAATGGATCGTGGATCACCACATCAAAAACCAATGATGTATTGTATGGTGACTAACATAACATAATAAAATTAAAAAAAGAAGTAATAACAAAATAATGGTGGCAGGATAAAACAACTGTAGAAGATGTAAAAATGAGAGGAAATCACCTGAAGATATACAGGAAAAGGGCAAGAGCTGAATCTACAGCAGCATTTCCTCTATGTGTATCTCTTGGATATTACTTTATTGTCATCTTGGATAATCACAATGCAGATGTACATTTTAAAGGTTCTGATCAGTCCTAAAGTAAAGAGGACTACTGGAATATTTAGCCCAGTGTTTTCCAAATTACCTGGCCATGAAACCCTTTTGCTCCAGTAATACTTGTTCGTATATGATTAATGATCCACTTTTAAAGTGCAGAACTAAATAGCTCATTTTTCTCTTTCTCTCTGAATTGATTAAAAATGAGTACAAGATCCAAAAACTTTCTCTATTTCCCAAAGAAAACTTAGCTGAAATTTAATCCTTTTGTAACACTTCCATAAAACATTTAATGTCTCTCTCTGATACCTCTGACAGAAGAGTAAATAATGTTTCCAAATGAGAAAACAAAAATTTAAATCTTGTATTTTATTTTAAAGCTATTACAAATGTAAACTCAATCCAGCAAATAATAATCTCAGAAACAGCTAGGCTTTATTAATAAACTTCTAAGAATTTAAACATGGTAAAATAAAACTGGATTCCCTTTTAACTTCCCATGTTTAAAATATTTAATAATTACAGCATGATATTTAGAGTAAATTCTCAATTATTTACACAAAGTAGATAATGCTTAAGTAAAAAATCCAAAGATCAGTTCTATTTGCCTTTGGAATATACTGAGCTTCTACACTAGGTTTACCTTTCTAATTATGTTTTCCTTCACTGAATATTAAAAGTAGTTTATGTTATCATGGTACACATGTGAAAACAAGAAAAGTATGGCCCAAGCCTTTGCTGAAAAACAGGGTTATCGGATGCGTTCAAAAATTTTTTAAAAGGAGTATACCAAGAAATGATTAAACAAGAAATTAGCCTAATTCGGGGGGGGGGGGGCGTTGAGAAATCACTTAATTTTATGTAAAAATAATTTGAAACTCAGGAAAAGACAACTAAACTCAATCTTTTCAAGACTATGCTGGAATCAGATCTAAGCCCAGGACAAAGAAAATGTATAGTAAGTCATGAATACATTCACTGGAGCATAAAATAAAGCACCCCGGGGCGGGGAGGAGACTATTCTACACAATGTGGAACTTAAAAAACAAACAAATAAAAACAACTCTTTAAGTAACTGACCTAAATATTACAGCAGCAAACATACTTCTATTAAGGGAAGTTTTCAGTAACAAAAAAAAAAATCAAAAATAATATATCAACACTATAAATAAAAAGTCTGAAAGGAAACAATTCTAAAGGCTAAAAAAAAACACAAATACACACCAAAAAACCCTCCAAAAATGAGAGACAAAGAATCAACAACAGTAAGGATGAAAGTGATTATGGTATAACCCCAAATGTGAGAACATAAAATCTATCCTGAATTAAGGAAAAAAAAACAAGAAGGCTATAAAAGGATCTTAAAACACTGTCTTCTTTTATTCTCACTAAAAAATTATAAATTTTAGAAAGGTAGAGTTTATTTTTTTCACTGATTACTGATGGGAAGGGCAAATAATAATCAAAGGACTTCCTTCCTTCGAATCAAACTGTTCACACCAAGGAACAGCTACAATAGTGAAAGGCCACCAACGTTTTGAAGATATAAAAACCATGTCTGAATTTGAAGTTTAACATAGGTTAAACTCATTAAAAAAAAAAGTCTTAAAACACTGAAGGAACATACCACTAAGTCTTGATCTTGAAGCAAATTACAAATTGCCTCATATAACATGGGTCTTAAGTCAGACTTGAATTTCACAGAAATCCACTGACCGATGAGCCAAATCACCCTGCGTCGCAATGGCTTATACCTGGATAAGGAAAAATCATGAAATTTAAATGATAAATACTTTACAAAGCCTATTTCATTTAGTATATTTCATCATTTAAATTTTAAATATAGTAAAGAAGCAATCTGTATTTTTTATATAAAAGCATAAAAGCTACTTCTAAACATACCACAGTATAAATACTAACAATAAAAGTTCTGATCTACAAAAATTGAAAATTCGTAGGCAGATATATTGCAAATCTAATTACTTTAAAGAACTGTAACATAAATATGTACATAAAAACAAGTCCATTTCTGTTCCTCAAGTAACCAAAAACAGTTAATCTGAAAAGGCATAAGCAGCTAATGTCCCAAACCTAAGGCTGAAGAGGCCCTAAAAAAGTAGTAATAAAGGAATTCCTGTATTCAATTTTCTAAATCCAATTGTTTATCTTACAAAGATTGTTTTTCAGAACACTGTGAGAGATTTCTACATTTACATAAAATACTCAGTAAATAATAAATAATAAATAAAATACTCAGGTTTCTACACTGATTTTAAGTAAATTCTCTAATTTTTTAAGAAGTGCCCTATTACAGAATGTGACTCATATTATCAAAATAATGATTTACTTTTTAAAAGCTGTAAAACATTTGCAGTAGCAGGTATACACATTTCTTTCTCTATGATCATCTTTGCTAAAGGCAATGAAGTTTCTTTAGGCAAGGAGAAAAACCATAAAGCTATAAACAACTATGTATAAGAATTCCACCCACAAAGTCTCTTCTTGGTACTATATAAATTTTAGTAGTGAGATGATAATTGTTTCAGGGTATAAATGGAATATGCTAATGAATATGCCACATATTTTAGGAAATTACAAAATTATAAGATGATCAAGCATACAGAAAGAATTGCTCATTAAAGATGCAAAAAAAATGTGTTTAAGTACTCCCTGCCCTCAAAAAGTTTATCTCACCGAAAATAATTAAAGAATGCAAAGTTATATAATAGGATTTCAGAAAAGGGATAGAAAAGAGTGGGTACGAAGAAATGGGATTTGAACAGCCTTTAAGATAAACAGTATTTTGGGCAGAAAACTGAAAAAATACCATTTCAAGGAACAGGGACTGTTTAAACAAAGTCACAGAGGTGGAAGTAAACAAGACTTGTGTACACAGTGTAGTGGAGAACCCACAGAACTATCAGTTCTGAACCAAGATCTCGGAAATTGCTATATTCAACATTCCACTCCAGATAAAGAGAACGAAGCTCAGAAAGGTCAAATCTTAAATTCACTTAGATCACAGTCACTTCTAAAATTGGAGGATAGTTTGTTCCTCAAAATGTGCTCCCTGGACCAGCAGCATCATCATCCTGGAAGCATGATGAAATCACACAATCTGACCCAGACCCTAACACATAACCTAAATCAGAACGTGTATCTTAACAAGATCGCCAACAGATTCAGATGCACATTAAACTTTGAGAAATACTGGTCTAGATCAGCTTGGTCCAGAAGAAACGTAATGCAAGCCAAATATGCAATTTTAAATCTGTTAGCACCCACATTAAAATAAATAAAAAGCAGGTGAAATTTTAACATTTTTATTTAACTCAGTATATGCAAAATATTATCATTTCACAACATGGAATCAATACATATTTTACACTCTTCAGTTTTTCAATTTAAATTTTAGTTAATTAAAATTAAAGTCATTTCCTCAGTTGCATTAGATACAATTCAAGCACTCAACAGCCATATATAGCAGCTACTGTACTGGACAACACAGATCGAGAGTAAATAGCCTCCAGGGTTTAAGGACAATCAAACCACACAGTGTGTTCCCACGAAAGGCACATGTAGCTACCTAATGAAGGTTTTCTCTACATCAAAGGCTCTCTGGCTTACTGTTGGCAGAGTCACAGTCCATCTTACCACAGACTTTATAGGACATGGCAAATTCGCAGCCACTGAAAATATTCACTGACTCAATAGGTAAGTAGCTATTTACTAGTCAAAAATATTTTTTCGGGTTTTTTTTTTTTAATTTCAAGTTTTTATTTAAATTCTACTCAGTTAACACATAGTGTGATATTGGTTTTGGAGGGGTCAAAATTACTTTTAAATCATCTCCAACTCTACAATTCCCCAGCTCTCAAGGTTTATATAGAAGCCTTCTAGTCATTCATTAACGCAGTCAAAAAAATGTTACCTGATCTATGACTACATGCTAGGCATTCTGATAGGCACCAGATCTACAGAAATAAATCAACAGAAATGCACAATTCAAAACAAGAACAAAGTCTCTTGGAATTTTTAAGTCTCTAATTCTAAACTAAGAAAAAAATTATAAAAACTCTGAAAGACCTTTACCCTTCCGTTTCATCCGTTCAGTACCTAAAATTAGTCAAGTACCTAAAAGTATATGAAACATAAGAATTCTAAACATCAGGTAGCTCTGTACTACTGAATGGGGCAACCCAATACAAGCCTAAAGTGCATCCAAATGCTTTCTGCCATGGTGTCTCTCCATCCTATCTACCCTCTCCCAGACTTGCAGTATGCTATGTGTGATCCCAAGGCATTCAGTCGGTCACCCTTCACAGTTACTATTTGTGTCTGACTACTTCTTACACCAGGCCTATCCCCGGCTAAGTCTCCAACTGGCTTTCTTGTGTACACAGTTTTTTTCTAGAATCCAGGTATCTCCATATTTCCCTTACCTTTGTATAGAATTTCCTCCTGCAAACTATCTTACCTAACATCAAATACTTCATACATGTTACAAATCACAGTTAAAGTAAAAAAACATAACCAACTTTATTTTTCAACTCTAAGAGACATGTCTTATTCTACACTAGATATGATCAGCTAACTCATACCATAACTTTTTAAAAATTTTAAGCAATTTTAATGCCTTCCTATCTTCATCACAAAATTAATAAGGTAAATTAAGTGTATTATTAACACAAAGTTTCATACTTGCCTATTATGAATGACTTGTAATTCTGGAAGAAGTTGGTTTTTAAACCACTGATCAAAATCAACACTGTCAAACAGCTCATAAGCCGCTAATCCAACAGCATTATACACTACAAAGAAGATTTGAGAAAAAAAATTTTAATTTCAGATGCTGGGCCCAATGTTAAGTGTCATATAAGAAACTAATCCTTAGGGATACTTTAAAACATGTAATATGCTAATAAAGGGAAATTTACAATGTTAATCAAAGACATTATTTAAACAGATATTGTAGATTCATTATTTAAGTTACTTTACACTGTTTTTCCTAAATACTCCTTAGTGCTTTCAAACAGAAAGCTACATCCATTTAAACATATTCAAGTCAAATTATAAAAATTATAAAATAAGGGCGCCTGGGTGGCTCAGTTGGTTAAGCAACTGCCTTCAGCTCAGGTCGTGATCCTGGAGTCCCAGGATCGAGTCCCGCATCGGGCTCCCCGCTCAGTGGGGAGTCTGCTTCTCCCTCTGACCC